TGCTGTAGAAATAGACATTTAACTGAAGTTAACAGCTGTTAAGTTTGTCTCTACTTTGAAAACCTGACACAGCCATTTAGCACTGTAAGTTTGTTCATTAATGGTCACGGAAACATGGTTGCTTCATCGGAAACAATTACATATACACACAGCAGAATCTGGCATAGCAGCACAGCCCCCTGGATGGATAGCGCCAGTCTGATGCTACCTTACCAACAATTCTGCGACGTTCCTGAAAGGCACTAAGATATCTAGTAGAAGGCAAGGAGGGGAAAAAAGTCTTGGAACTATAGGACTCGGGAACAAAATCAAAAACTTCACATTTCCTTTATCACTATACCAGACACATCTCTTCTGGCAGGCAGGGGGAAGCACTGCTACTTAAATACCAAAATAAAACAGACTGGCTGAAAAACATTTAGTATCTTCCTACTAGCTAGATTTACCTGTAGAAGCCATCCACTGGTGCCTGGCAGTCTGGTAGGTCCACTAGAAAAGGCAGTTTCAGGAGAAGAGGATGAGGCATGAGTCTTGATGGACCCTTTTCTTATAGTAGCTCTACTTGACGCACCATCAGTTTGAGGTATAAGAAAAAAGAAGTACTGGCTGGTAGGAAAGAATTCTGCAATGAACTGGGGCTAATAAAGCTCCAACCGTTAATATATGGGCAGAGCTCCCCACCAGAGACAGACAGTAGATCTCTGAAACACAAGGCTTCCTCCGAGCATCTGGAAACGTCTGGTTATTGCCATATGCTAACCCTCACTATTCAGCTCAGTAGCACTCTGGCATGTAAATTGCCTATATATATTGCTCTCTGTACAGGTCATAAAGCTTCTTCCTGCTTTAAGAAATTTTGTTCTGGATCTTCATGCTTCCCCAATTATTTCATTCTCTGGCACCAGTTTGGGGGTTTTTTTTGTTTGTTTGTTTGTTTTTAAGTTTTTAAGCAGAAAAATAGTGGGGGCAAACATTTCCTGGGTCTCACTGATCACCATGTCAAGTTTATAGTCAGAAAGCACAGGTAAAAAAGTTCAGTGTGTCAGAATAATAACATAAACAAGCAAAAAAAAAACCCAACACCACCACTTTTCTTTGTTAAAAAGAGAGAAACATTTGCTCCTAAGACAACAACAGAGCCTCCAAACTGTCCAAAGCAATTCAACTGACGTTCTTCCTTACCAGGTTCACCAATTTTTTTGCTGCATAACCACCAAGGATAGTATTCCCACTTGCTCAGGCAGTAGTCTTTAAATTTAGTATATGTCACACTTAGTTGCTGAAAAGTAGAAAACGTCCACATTCAAAAAGGCTAAGGACAGAGACAGAACTTCTGTGAACTTTTTCCATTAAACATAGTACAGAATTCAGTAAAAATCTTCCAAATCAAAACTACAGGGATATAACATGCAGCTCACGGCCACCATTTCAGTTAGGCTAGTGTCAGACTTTGTTTTGACAACTGATGGCTCAGGAAGACTCCAAAAATCACATTTGTACAAAACTGACTTGGTGAACCTCAAATATTCAAATTACAATTATAGTCCAGAAAAGCCAGCAAGATTAACTCTTAGCTAAACTTACTGTTTAGGTTATTGTTTAAAATTAATGTCTAATTTCATGTAAACAGGAAGACAATCACTACCAAGATGCCTTCCAAAGTGTTAAAGAGTTTGCATTTCCATATGGGTATTTTCAAGGTTTTTGCTGGGTTACGGGAACAACCGAGGACACACAGGCAAACACAAAGGCCATTCTGACAGGATGCAAAAACAGAAAAGGACAGCAGCTGGAAAACTGCCCGGTTACTAAAAATTAGATACGTCCATATAAATGCTAGAATAATTTAATATATAATGAATGTAATCCTCTTTCAAAGTAGATTACAAAAAACAAATTGCCAAGTTAACTCACAAGATTTATGTTGTGTAAGAACAGGTCATTTTAAATGTAAAAAAGTTAATGAACACAAAATGGCATGTAAACTCAGCCTAGACGCTCAAAAAACCCAAACAAATGGATCTTTAACTTTTTCCCTTCTTTCTCTAAGTGGATAGGAAAAGACTAGTCTTCTCTCCAAATCCCTTGACAGTTGGGTTCAGCTCTAGGCATCCCTGCAACAAGAGCAGTAGAAAAAAAAAAGAACATAACCATATGCACATTGTATTTGTATCAAGGAAAAAAAACAAACACGGAGAAGTAGATTAAACCCCACCCATAATGACAAGCAGTGAGCTTTTAACACTAGATTTGTTCTATTTGCAACAGAAAAACAAGGAACTGTACTCACAGAACTGTATCAGTGCCAGACTTGGATCTTCTAGTCAAGCTATCAGTTCCCTGAGATACAGGACACCATCAATGACTAACCAGAGACTACTATTACATTCAAGTGAGCTTATTTTTAGACTAAAGTCTGTTAGGCTGGAAGCACCTGCTTCATTGCTTCTCTAGTTATAAAGGGCTGGGAACAGCATGGAAGTAGTCAGCCTGCCTGTGTAAGGGAAACGAGTATAAGAGGAATATCTGGAAAAGTAACCCAAAAGGAAAGAAAAGGTAGCGTTCCTAAGAGGAAAGTATTGGCTTTAATCTACAAAGCAGAAAACCTGCTTTCTGAATATTTTCTTCTTAGAATTTTTGGCAAAGAATTACTGTAATAAGAAATCAGTATATGATACGCTCTATAAAGCAAATGAAATGAAAAGTATGTCCTCACCTTGAATACAAGAAATGAGGCAGGATACCAAAATAAATTACCTGTTCAGTCTGATAACCTTAATTTTATGAATTAGGGCTAATGAAGTACTTTAAAAAAGAAATTGTTGAAATGATTACTGTTTATGTTTATTAGTGTTATTTTATGTAATTTTATTATTGGGAAGGACAGAAACAGTAACAGAGAAATAAGGCCCAAAATCCTCCTCGAGTAGAATTATTTTCTGTGATACAAATTCAGATTATATTAGAGTTGGAGTAGTTTTTCTACAGCTTGTTCTATAAAAATGAAGTATAGCAGTTGAAAGCCTAGCCTAACATAGAGTTCCATTCATTATTGTAAGACCTAATGAGAACACAAACAAGCATGTGTTTAATTGTCAGGACTTAAGTAATACACCGCAATTTTTCCACCGATACAGGTGAAGGTAACTTATCTGTGCCATAAAATCACAAGTGTGTCAGTATGAGCCCTCAACAATATCCATTTTTAAACATTCGAAACTACGAACAAAGTTAAAAGTTAACAGAAATTATGACCTTTAAAAGGCTTGACATGAAGTTTCATAACTCACTGATGACTTAACTTAATGTTGCTGTGATGAGTAACGACTGCAGAACACAATCCTTTCATTAAATATAAAATGGACAAAAACAGACAAGCATGGCATTGCTCTCCAAATTACATCTTCTACAACTTCCCCATTTAAAGCAATTATGCGAGAACTGTGGAAAATGGATGCAAGATGCAAAGCAGGATGTGAAGTTTCTATTCCTATAGAAGAGTTTCTCTGAACAACTACCATTCATTTTAGAATCATGTCAGGTGATTTACCTGTAAACAGATAAGAACAAAAGCTTTCAGCTAATCTCACTTTCAAAGTCTCCCAACACAATCAGACTGAAATCTTACATGATCTTATGTGATACAAAAACTTTAATTTTGCAACTGCAACTTAATAGTTGCACTTTTTGATCATCAAAAGTGGAGAAAGATATCCATGCTTTCAAAAGCATCCTAAGAACACAGTGCAGGAAAGTAATATTATACTGAAAACTAAGTGTTCACCATATTCAAATAGGTGAAGCTTTTTTTTTTTTTAAAAAAAAAAAAAAAAAAAAAGGAAAACTGGAACATGCTGCAATCTGAGAACCTTAAAGATAGTAGCTGAATCACTCTGAAACGATTGTTCCCTACCACCTCCCCAGACATGAAGTTGCTACTAGGTACAGTTAAGAATCAGTTAGAAAAAAAAAAAGCAGAAAAGCAAACCCTATTTAAAAGGCTGTATAAGCATGTAGCAGCCATATGATGTTTTACTTGAGTTTTATCAATTGCATTTAATCATATATTAATTGGGAAGGAAAGGGAAGGGAAGAAGGAATGAAGAGGGGGAAAGTCACCAAGTTAGCTCTTTTACCACTACTCCTAAACACACAGAAATAGCAGAATTTTGAGCAGAACTAAGAAGTTGAAAATCTGCTTTAATAGTATCTTTCAAATACTGTTTTTTGGTTTTCCACCTCGAAGACAATTTGTTTCGGCATAGAAAAGAGTATGGAGTTCAGATGATTTGATACTTACCTAAATATCCTAAATTTTGCTATACAACACAGATGCAGCAAGTTAAATAGTAATCTCTTCTGAGGCTTTATCCTGATCAGATAGAGAAACTAAAATGGGTTGGTGAAATCAGAATCACTGTGTTTCCTCTTTATTCTCTGTATCTGAAAAGGCTTGTAACATAGCGGCCTACATCAGGAGAATTTGGCATGCCGAGTACAGATCACTCCAAACCGGCAAATGAAATGGAAGTAGTAGAACTGTGGAAAGAGAATTAACTTCCCCTCTCATGCTCAGCAGAGGGGGACAAGTTTACCACTACTATATGTCATCTGCTGAAATAAAGAAGAAATTACATTTTACTTGTCCTACTACACTCCTATGTAAAATTTTTAGCATATTTTTGTTCTGCAAAGTGAAAGTCCCCTAGTAATACCACATACTGTAAGAATAATGAAGTACTCTAGCCCCGTTACACTTTCTACTATGCATCTCACCATATAAGTTTGGACACGTTCAGATACTCCCAATATAAGAACACTACTCTAACACATTCTTACACATTACTTGTGACCTTAGCAATGTAAAAATGCATTTGGATGTAAAATTCAACCCTCAGGTAAGGAAGCTTATATTGATTAAAAACTAAAGGATAAAAACCCTGAAGAACAGCAGCACAGTGGGAATTCTCCTTTTTCTTTTATTATTTATCACACTCACACTAAGAAAAAAAGTCAAAACCAGGTAACTAAGCATTTTTATTCACAGACTTAGACAATGATCCTTATAAATAACATCTGCAGCACTCAAGACACCTCTCCATCTGCTTCTTGGTTTTGTATCTTATATAAAAGAATAACAATTGCATTAAGTTCTTTGTATGTTCACTGTAACGCAAGAACCTGTTGCTTATCCTTCAGAATTTCTTCCTCGTCATCCATTTGGCTTTCATCCCAGCCCCTTAAAAGAAACATACCACAGTGATCAGCAGCAGCTCAAATTCCTCAGGCTACTCTACTGGCAGCCTTAGTGACATATGTTCAAATATTCAGAAAAAAGGCCACAAACATAACTTTGACTGTATGTATTGCATAGACACATAAATTATAGGCAACTATATTCATTTTTCCCCTCAGCTTTTTTCACAAACATTTTCAGCTCTTAACCAAGTGAGAAGTAAACATTGTCATTATTACACCTTAGGGAAATCCCACATCCTAGAACAGGTAAACTAAGATAACAAAAATAATTTTAAAAGCACAGTGCAGAATACAGAAACAGCGTTTCTACTCTATATATAGTTAACTTCACCGTCTCTCACCTATCTTTACTAGTTGCAAGATCACAGTACACAGCCCAGTGCCAGACAGAATTTTTGGGAATCTCCTTTTCAGTCACCTCCTTATCTCTGAGGCAACATAACAGACATAGCCTATGGCGAGTTAAACGTTATTGGCTCACCCGCTCACAGCTACTGTTGTTCAAGGTACCTTTAAACCAAAGAACTCAGATGATTTTTAACAGACACATTTGTAAGTCCCAATGCTCTATATTAACCAAGCTAATGCATTAAAAATTGTAATTCCAACATTTATAATCTGGGGGTCTCAACAACAAAGTATATCATTTAATCTGAAAAGCCCGAGAGAACTGACTTAAAACACCAAAATATAAAATATCATGCTGACATTTGTAATCAGCAATCAGAAAGTCAAGACTGGTTTTACTTCAGTTCTGGCAAGATGCTTGGGGTTAATATTAAGCATTCTACAATATCATAAAACTACAGCCAGCAGGTTTAACTTACCTTACAGTATCAGCTCTGCTGTGGTCTTTTAGTTCCTGATTTTTATGGAAATGGGTACTATGAAAGCCTTCACAAGTTAAGCTGCAAAGTTTTTCCTGAGGACCTGAAATATTTTAGGCCATTTTAGTAACAAATACAAACAAAAGGTATATGCCTTTTGCATATAAACAAAGTAAAAAGTAAAAACCACTCTAGTTTGTTTAGAATGTCACTACAAGCCCTCAAATATGACTTTGTATTATATGGCTCCTGTAACACTAGAAGGGATGGAAAGGGTTTGCTTCTAAGACTTTTATGTCAATGCTGTATCAAAACCTGTATGTAGGGTCCACTAATTCCTATGTGACCTCAAAACACTACAGCAAAGATACAAGTCAGGTAGCTGACTAAGGGTAATATACCTCAAAACAGACTAATAGGATATATTCTAATTGTTACAGCCCCACCAGTCCAAAATGGTGATCAACTGGGGTCACAGTCTATGCTTCTTTAGAGCACACATATAAGCATACTGTTATTTTCATACTTTCATATGGTCATAAGTTTCTGATACAAGCCTCTAAATAAGTGAGCAGTATTCCAAGAAAATCAGAATGAAGAGGGAGAGGAAGAATGGGGCAATCTCTTCAGTAATAACTTCCCTCCCTATTCTCCTCTGTGCATAAGCAGCATTGATCTTCATTCTTCAATCACCAACAGAAACTCTTGTAGAGACATGGGTTTCATGAGAACTTACCCAAAAAGGGAGGATAGTTCTCCTGAAATGTCCTATTGTGAAACCAGAGCAGAGAGCTCCGTGGACAAATATAACAAAACCTAAAGTAAACAACATTTTGAAAGATGAAACACTCTCCGTAATCCAGACTACGTTTCTACTGAACTAAGATGTATCACAGCGAAGACCTGCCAACATTAAAGCACCACAGCAACTCAGAAGGGAGGGATCATGTTGCATCCTAAGAGACGGAGTCTGCCAAGTGTCTTAGACACTCAGAAACTACCACCAAAGTAAGATGGCACAGAAGCATTTCAATCTCCCCGCCCGCCCCCCAAAAAAAATTCAAAGAGCAACAATGAAAGTCACTCTCTTGACTGGTTCTGTTCAAACATAACCAACTGACCTCGTCCCCCTGCAGTAAATAGGGGAAAGGGGTTGTGTCTTCTTAGTGGCAGTTCTCCTCAGGACAGATCTATAAGACTTCCACTCCACCTTCCCCACTACCCTTACACCAAAAATAAATCCAGCTCTCCATCAACATCTGAAGTGTTCATTATTACATATCCCAAGATAGGATACCTATTCAAAAGAAACTCATGATCTGAAAGAGGTCAATTGTACAACCTAGCACATCCAACAAACTCCTGGAACAAAAATGCAGGAGATGAAAGGTTCAGAGAGCTGCATACCATACGTTGCTTAACTAAATTAACAGAGGGTTAAAAGACAAACGTGTTTCTGGTAAACATGAAAGAAAGAACAACACTGCCACTTACTTGTATAGCTTTGTAACTCTCTTCCCAGAGTAAGTAGGGCTTCCTGGTCAGCCCTATATCCCAAAAGATCCCCATCTTGTTCAGTTGCATCAAGGCACTTGTCTTTTGATATCTCGGGAACAACTCTTAATGGACGCATAGGTGAACTCCTTGGTCTTGGCCGAGTTGGACGATTTTCAGCCAATTTACAGTCTAGCATATTTGTTGACCATGGTCTTCTAGAATCATTCCCTGATATAACACAAAAGGTCATAGCTCCTCATCAGCTCAAGATTTTATGTAGCATATAAAGAGAATTTCATTCCAGCTAATGACAGGAATTTTAGTTAAAATTATCAATTGATCCAAACCGATTATTAATTTTAGTTAAAACTGAATTGACAAATGTTAATAAAAACATTAAAATTATAATGGAAAGTAGCCTCTCATACTTCAGGGGCATCTTTCAGAAAAAAAATTTGAGTTAAAGACTACATAGGATGGTACAACTTTTGGACGAGGGGAGAAGCTAAGGACGTTTTTGAAAGCTTAACACTTTTGTTCTGTCACTTTTAATTTATGGGAACGTGAATATAATATTGATACTTTCAAATTGTTTTTTCCTGGAATTCAAAATTGACAGTTGCAATTTCACAGATGGCATTTTTAAAATGAAAATGCCAAACTGGTTGCTTAAGATGAGAGAAAATGTAAGCTAGTTTCCTTCAGATAGACAGCTGAAACTGAGAAAAAGTAACAGAAATGTGCAGATGCAGTGATGTATTGCTTGTCTCCTTGGCTTTTTTAGTTTATGTAACAGTAATTATTTCAGTATCATGAATAAATCTTTTATTAGACCAAAATCATATTGTATTAGTTGTTGCAAAACTCATAGTAATACATAATTTTGTCCCAGACATTTTATTACCAATATATCCAAGGCTTAGAGGAGAGTAAGGCGGTAGGGGCAGGAGTAACATGAAGCACAATAAAAAGAATTATTACAGTAAGAGATAATTTTTAACTCAAAACCAGTTCTTATGAAAAAGCATTATGTATTCAAGCCATCTTACCCAAAATACAAATACATGGATGTAGATGTAAAAATAATGCCTAAACTCGACAGAATCACAGAGGGGGTTTCTACTAAATTTCTATTTTTAGAAATAGATCACATTTCCTGACATGCCAAGATATCAAGTAAAAATTTTCAAAAATTTTGCAAAAAAGACAAATTAAGCACAATAGCCCAACCACTGCTTAAATTCTTACAATTTTTTCCATGTATTTTAAAGAACAGGAAACACAGTTAAAAATGATGAGGTCTTATACTTTGCCTACAATATTCAAAGCAGTGTTTTTTACTGACATTTTCAAAACCTCAAAAGGATTCAGATATGCATACTGTCACTGAAAAAAGACAACTTTCATTATGTGTTATGTCTTGTGTGCAACTGGTGGTTTTGTTGTAGACATACCGAAGCCATATAAACTTTTAACATTACCAAAACATAATATCATTTATGTCTATATAAAACAGTATTTTTAATGAGTGAAGAAGTATGATTTATACTGTCAGAAGAAAGGGAAGATGGTGGTTAGGAACAATTTCAACTCATGTTCAACAATCTCAAACTATACTGCTCTCAAGCCTAACTGCTCCTGAATCATATTTACTATACAGAAACAAATCAGACTGATATTTCCGGGATCTTTCAGTATTTAGCTCATTCACAGCAATCCAAAAGCGTAAAGAACATTTTCAGATGATAAAAGCTAAGTAACAGTTATTTTCTTCTTATAACTAGCTAAAATCACCCTGGGATTTCAACTGTCTGTCAATACTGCAGAATGTTTGCAAGATTATGTTAAAAATACTGAGTAAAAGCAAAACACCCCAGAAATTTGATAGTTTATCTCTAAACACAAAAAAGAAGGGAAGAAAATTTCTAAATTATTTTTCCTAGCTATGCATTTCTATTAGTCTGTCATCAGCTTGCTTGATATTTTGGAGGAGTTTTGTGAGGTGCATTTTCTGGACATTTGGTATACAGGCAAAATATTGAGGTGATGAACCTCTGACAATTAAATCATTGGTACAAATGGCTTCTTTTGTAAAATAACTTCACAATTTGTAAAGGCTCAAGTCCTACTGAGGACTCGGTTATAAATCCTCAGATAACTTCAGCAGAAATTTTATAATACTTGGTATAACACTGGGGTGGAGGATGACTACCACAGTTATCACAGATCTCATGGTATGCAATGAAATAGAAGGCACAGGCTCTTTTCAATACCAGTGATAGATCCGATAACACAATTATAAAATAGCATAATTAGAGAAAGCAAGTCTTCGGATAACTCACTTCACCTCTGGGAAATTACGGCGTTTACCATGTCTGACCACAGCCATATCTGCTACATGCTTTTGCACTTGGTGGACTCCACCTTGACAGTCATCCTCTGGTTGACAGATTGCAACGTCATTTCCTCTGAAAGGATGCATTTAAGCAGGATATACTGGGATATATCCTTCCTTATCACAGAAGGATGCATCAGTTGTTGTAACTCAAATACACCACTTAAAAAGCAAGTTAAAATGGACAGATTCTAAAAATACTTCTCTTAGAAAACAGTAATAAAATCCCAACAGCGAAGCAGCCAGCACTACAACTTGTGTTTTAAAAACTTAAGGAACCAAACTGAGCAAGTCACTAAACTGGGCTTTGGTTAAAAGGTATCATGATTACAAACATGCTTAAAAATAATCGTAAGGTAAAAATAACCTGCCAAATAGAACCTCAAAAACATTGTTATCCTTACCAGGGTACACTACCATCAGGGGAGACATTCTGTTTGGAGAGTCCTGTCTTTCCAAACCATTTGAATGTCTGTTCCTTTGATTTTCTAAGACACCTTGGACAACAGAGTTATCAGCATATTCACTTAAGCTTCTGTCAATAACCCACTCTTCATCTCCTGAAATTAAAAAGCATTAGAGGAAAATATTTACATGTCTTGTGCTAGGGTATTTACTGTTGCTATAACTGCTACATTGAATACAGGAACGATTAAAGGTAGTAATGCAACAACGTTTCCGCACATGTGAAAATTCATATAGCACGCTAGTGAGCTTAAGTTCAAGTGATATAATTGATCAAGTTAATATTCATGTTCAAACACTTCATATGTTGCTTCGTATACACCATTAAAGGCAATGGGATACTGATACTTTTTTATTTGGTGATGCATATTACAGAGCAAAAAGCAGAAATTCGTACTGGAACTAAATTCTCAGGGGGTACAAAAAAATAATATAAATCTATGATGATATATTGATGTAATTTACCTCAAAGTACTGAATTTATTTTATCCCTCCACACCACTGGTTGCACCTGCTGGCATGACAGTTAGCCCCAAGTGACTTTTAAAGATCAGCTAGATCCAGTTAGGGCAGTTACATGAAGAGAGGGAGGTGCTACAGAGGCAGTACTCAAAACATATCATGTTTAAGGGTTTTATTCATACATCATTACCTGAAAATAAAATACTATTTTTTGCCGGATTGCAGTCAGCACACAGTGAAGAACATGCTTTCAGAATTACTTGTTTAGGGCTTACACCTAAAACAAAGAAACCTTCAAGTCCCCAGTACCATGTAGAAACAGGTTTCTCTCTGTGGGCTACTTCCTGTAACAACTTGAATAAAACACAAAATCATTAGAAAAGGAAAAGGCTACATAAGTTTCCCTTTCAAGTTTATATTAATAAAATGATCATTTCATAAAACCTGGAACGATCTAATTGCCTGATATAATTGATATATTTTTTCCACAAGGTTGATGGCTTTGTATGATGTATGCTTTCAAATTCTAGAGACTTCTGTTGCTAATGCAGCAAGAGTTTACAGTCTCTTCTTCCACTGATTGAATGTAGCGATGAGAAGCAGCTTTTTGCTTGCTCTCACTTATCTTCGTGTATATTAAGGAAAGTAATACTGACTAACCTCTTAATGACATCAAATCTAACGTCCCAGTCTTCACCATTACTATTCAAATGTTCTTTTGTTGAAAATAAAATTGAAAGTGAGTATTTCAGATTTGGCAAGAGTATCTACAGTATGCAGTATCCAACTGAGAGGAAGTGGCCTTGATACTAACATGGGAAGAGCAGGGTGGGGTTTTTTTTCCCCCCCTCCCCTCCTGTCTGAGACTAGTCTGTTTTTTCTTTTACTTTCTGGAACTACCAACAGAAGACTGACAATACAGAGTGGAATGAATTAAAGCCTTTTTATCCTCCCAAGATGAAATATGTGACACATGTAACAATCCTCTCCGAGTATAACTATACTCTTGATTGCTTTTTGGGTTTGGGGGCAGAGGAGAGAGCGGAGCGAAAGGGGGAAGAGGGATATAGTGTTTCATAGTAGCCATACAGTTATTAGTCTCTCTCAGTTGATTCAGAAACATGTTATGCTGGCACATGCTGAAGTTGGAAAGCAGATAGGCAATACAGCTTACATATTATATCTTAAGTTACTAAATATTTTACCACTGAGGACTTTGCAATTACAGGCGAAACCAAACTCTGGCTATTGCTGGTGCCATCCAATATTTGTGAGTCTTTATCTTCCCGTAATTGCATCTCAAAGAGATATTTGTTGCTCACTAGTTTCGTAGGGTTAGAGGTCTTCTCAGAGAGTTTACAAGAGCTAAGCATTCCTCCCATAGTCTTTATCTTACTCTCCTTTTGCACTGCATTTCTTTCAAGGTGATCGCAGAAAACCATTATTTCTGTGAGAGGGCAAACAACAATGAACATAGCAATATTTAATGGAAATTTATATTGATTATAATCTGCAAGTCTACAGTGTTGTTCTTCATGAATTTAAAGCTAGTCCGAAGGCACATGACAAAAAAACAAACAAACAAACAACCACCAACTTCCAGCACCCTCCAGAGATGCTGACAGAGTAGACTTACGGGATAGTAGTACCTGTTCTACATCCAACGTATCCATTTCTGTACATTATTGCCTATGAATACATTAGATCTTGATTATACTTTTAACGTACTTCCAACTACTACTTCTTGACAATCTTTACCTTTAAAATGCTATATAATCTAACTAGAGTCATCTTAAGAATCAAAATAGTAGCATTTGCTTAACATTTCTTCAAAAAGTAGTAACAACTGTTTGAAAAGCCTACTCTCAGATTGACAATGATTCTGCAAGCTTTTTTTTTTTTTTTTTTTTTTTTAAATACCAGACATAGCCATTTCTTTTTTTTTTAATCCTGTGCCTAAAGAACAGGAATTGCATCTGAGTCAGCTCTTATTTGCTCCTTCACATTTGAAGGCTTAAAATAAAAAGTTTCTTGAACTAAGTCCAAAGAAAACAAGTGCTAGGTCCTGAAGGGCTAGAGCAGTTATTCAGTGGCTTGCAAGATTAAGAAAAAAAAATAAAGTACTCTTACGTAGCAACTGCTTTACACCATTTCTCAACCTATAAAAGCACTTTTTCATGTAAAGAGAACATGTGCCATATATTAAATATAATAAAGTATAGAGAAACAGAAAGACTTGTGAGATCACTATCTGTTTTACATGTCTACTTTCTGTATACCACTCACTGGTATGAGTGGCAGTCTGCCCCAAAAAAATGAAGCTCATAATTTTATCTATGAGAGCAACTATCACAGAAAACTTCTCTGGTTTCAGAATAGCTTGCATGACCACAGCTTGGTAGTTAAGCTAAGGGGTCGATATAGCTCAGTGACGTGCATATCTGCATACCATGTAAAGATCATTAAGATGTTTTTTCAGACAACTATCACAGTTGGTTACCACATCCTATATGAGAATGACAAAACTATATAAGACAATTCTGTACAGTGGACTTTCAAAACTTACCTTGAAAAGTCTCTTTAGAAGAAACAGGACTTCTAACAAGAGGAAGAGGTAGAAGATATTGAGTGTCAGCTGTAGAAGTCGACTGACCAGATGACTTTCTCATTACGCCTACAGTTTTTGTTGGCAAAAGGTCTGGTATTGAGTTTCTATGATCTGCAGTTGCTACACTACTTAAAGGAGGAGGGAACGGGAAAGACCAGAATAAAATACAACATGGCAGATCACATCTAATCACAGACAAATTTTGGAGATCAGAGGAGTTGCTCATGTACCATCAACAACATAGGTCCATTTATTAGGACTCTTAGTTTGCCTGCAATTACAAGATTAATCATGTGAGAGTATCTTTAAAGTATACAGCACAATGGCCAATTACAGACTTGTCTGTAGGCATATCCCTGATCCTATTGCGATAAGAACAGACAAAAGAAATTTTACCTGTAATTCAAGACTTACATATATGAAGAAATGCATCTTACATGATTTAACATTTCAAGCAATAAAGTAAACAAAGAAATTTCAAAGTGACATCTCTCTAACTACAGACAGTTAGCATTCCTTGGTGACTCATCAACATAGCAGAGGACACAAACTTACCATTCACTAACTTTAACGGTAAATGTGTCTGTTAAATGCCAAACTGTTTTTATAACTTCTTATAAAACATTCATTAAATCATCAGGTCATTCACCAAATGAAAACTTTCAAGGACAACAAAGAGCAATCACAGAGAGAATCTTGGAAGAAATGTAAAGGAAGGGAAAGAACTCAACCGACAGTGTCGTAACACTAATGCAGGCTAACTACGTCTTGTGGTAAGGATGAGACAATGAATTTCCTAACCATGCCTTAAAACACTTTACAGTCAAGGATTCTCCAAGATTCACAGGAAATATGAAGGAGATGACTGTCTGCAAAGAAGAGAGCTTGTTACTTAGGAATGTAACTATTTCAAAGGCGAGATAGGATTACTCCCTTTTCTCTTCCAAAGAATCTCTGCATTTCTGATACCTTCTAAACTGCTCGAGTGGTTCCGTTTTTCTTTGCTTATTCATTCCTATAGCCCCAGCTTCCATCACCAAAAAGTCAGATGATTCTTCCAAGTCCTTGTCATAAGACTAATTAAAAAAAATAAATACATATTCAGCAACAGATCAATATTCCAAAGACATTAACTCACGTGAGGAAAAGCCTATAGATTTTCTTTTTGTATAATTTCTATACAATTAGGCTCACTAGACACAACAGGAAAGAATTATGCGGAAAATATCTTACGAAAGATTCCCTATATCTATCTATTGAAAAGATCAACAACACACCAAATAATTTTCTTATTAGAGGTTTAGTTGTTGCTAATTTAAATTTTTAACATGGCAACCTGATTAAAGAGAACAGGACTTTTAAACCTAATCATTTAGGATCACTGTAAAGAGACAAACTCTATTATATACTTACATCATCAAGGACCTCAATTTTCAGAGACGACTCTGCACTCTCAGAAACAGCGTTAGGTACTTTCTCTCTGAAAACAGGTGCCCAATATCTCTTCATATCTTCAACTATGAAATATAATTTAATTATTTGATATATTCATTTTTTCTGGTTTTAGACATTAAAGTTTACCTGATACACCTTCCAAAATTCAAACAATTTGCTTATTACGAAGCATCACAAATTGCTCCCGTAATTGTTAACTATTTTCTACCTGCAAAAAGAATGCAAATATGCAGCTGTTCAGCAAGCAGAAAGAGGAAAACAAACCCAAGAAAAGATACTTAAAAGTTAGCTTCACTAAACAGAAATCCAATACACCTGTTAAGTCATCATCATCACCACCATCATCTCCTTTTCCACCTCCTTCTCCTCCAACAGCAGCCTGATGTTCATCCAGCGTTTGTACAGGCCTTAAATTGTTTACCTGATTACTAGAAACTTGATTAACAGGAGTTCTAAAAAAAAGAAACAGAAACTAAACTTTAGAAAGTCATCAGTATTTTATATGTAACATCTCAGCTTCAGTATTTACCGCTACTGACAAGTGGCAACTTCTAATTTCACCAAGAGCACCTCACACTTTAGGGATTAACAACATATTTCTGCTATATTTACAAATAAATATCCTGAAGATCATAATTCCTTTCTCCTGTGAAACTCCTTCTGTAGCAAATGCTCCTAAAACAAGCTATCAAATACCATTATCAGTACTTCAAATTCTACAACAAACAAAGCAAAGAGAATCCTTCCAATTACTCCCTTTGGAGTAATTCTGAAATATTAAGCCACCAAATCTGATTACAATGATTATTTTAACTAAAATAAAATACCCTGTATACAATCATTTTAATTAATGATGTCCCTGAATTTTTTTAATACTCGACATATTATCAAGAGTTAATATTATAAAGTATTTCTCACTTCTGTCATTAGTACCAGCAATTTCAAGAATACCTTCTGTATTTCTTAAGCAAGAGTTTTTCCATGTAGCTCAGGCTGTCCTCCTTGAATTCAATTTGGATAGGTTCTTTTGTAACAGTAAGGCGGGTCTGTACCTCACAAACTCCCACAGTTTCTATTAAAATAAAAATTTTATATAACTATTCAGATTTTAAAGTTTCTATTAACTACATGATTTCTGAATGAATGCCAGATTAGCCTAGGTCTAGCTAGGTCTTTCCTTAATTCCAGAATTTAAAAGGCCAGCAATATTATACTACACTTAAAGACAAAAAAAAAACACACATCTAGAAGCTTTGAACCATACAAAAAATAATTTAAGAACTACTACAGATTTACTGGATTCCGCTGGAAAAAAAATAATTGATAAATTGCCAGAACCTATTGGGGTGGCAGGTGACCCTGCTTGTGCAGGGGGGTTGGAGTAGATGATCTCCAGAGGTCCTTTCCAACCTCAACCGTTCTGTGAATCTGTTAGCCAACTTCTCCTTGTATGACTGAAACATCAGTAAACAAACAGTAGATTGTGAGATTCATGTAAAGATTCCACAGATAAACAGTGACTTAAATAAGACTTTCTTGCATCTAATGATGTGTAACACGTTATTCCTCAGATGTATGTCACCTATGCCATGCAAGACTTGATCAATTCAGAAAAATTTGGTTCCTGGATTTATGAGCTCTTAAAACTGGTATTTAACCAATACAGTCAGCAATGGGAATAGCCAGTAAAACCTCATTTGTTACAGTTTCTTTCATAAAGGAAGACGACTACATGCTGGAAGAAAACAGATTCCATTACTCCACAGATAAATCCTTACCATACCACAGGAGAAAAATATCAATATATTTTGGGTATGAAAAATACAGGAAAAAATGAAAGCCATCCATGGGTTAGAGGACAGAATAGATTGCACAAATCAGATAAGAGTTTTTTCATATTTTTTCATGCATACTTTAACTGATTGCATTTTTTCATTGGGACAGACAGAAATATTGAAAGCCTGTAAAAGGCTAACAGACAACAATACTTTGATATAACATGAGAAAACTTGAGGCACGTACATTTCTCATCTCAAATGAAAGGGGAGACTTTATGCCTTGACATTACTAGTCATTAAAGTCTTCTGTGCCACTGTTTGTCACAGGAAACTATAGGGACACAGATTGAACCAAAATCAGAGTTCAATACAAGAATCCTGATAAAACAGTAACCTGCCCGTTATTAAAAAGATTCTTACACCGGTATGAGACTAGATTATAATACCTGAAAAAAATCCCTGGTAGAAATACAGCTTGTAGCAATTAAGAGTTTCATTAGACATTTTATCTTCTTATTAAAGTAATATAATGAATGGCAAGTTATCTAGTCTACTGTGACAGCATACAGCTAGTATCACAATTTTACTTTCCAGTTGCATGGGGTGCAGCTAGAAAGTCACTAATGCCTGTTTCAGTTCAGATAGTAAGCTGCTAATATTCTACACATTAAGGTATTTCTTTTAAGAATGTGTATTACCCCTCAAAACGACTACTAATGCTTTTAAAGCGCAGTTAAAACAGAAGTAAATTCATACCTGATAGGACCTCACTGGAATTCATTGCAGTTCTGCGATCACAATATCTACTTCTCCACTGAATCAGAGCTTCCTGAAACGACTGCGTAGATTCTTCCTCATTAAACGTACCATGTAGTAATAACCCACTCTCCTGATTTTCAAGGCCTGTCCAGATTGATTCCGAGGACTAAAAACAGTTCCACAAAATAATTAACACATCACTTCTGATTTTAATCCTCTCCCCAATTGTATACTATAGCAACAACATTTTTAGTATCAACTATGGAAATGCAGCACCCTGTCTTCTGGGCTTAGTTTAGCTACCCTGGAAATAATACCTCCCAATTTTTTGTGTGATCTTGCTAAAGACTAAATTTGCAAAGTTCTATCAAGGGCATACTAAGAAAAACAAAAGAAAAACAGAAGAGTCTGAATAAGCAGTCTGAATTAAGAGCATTTAGTTTATATGTTTTTAGTGGGCAGAAAGCACTAGCCACATAACTAGAGATATAGGCTATGTCACAGAAACATAAACAGGGGTCAATAGATTTTGTGCAAGACTGATGGCCCGATCCCTCATTTGGCACACTGGGGGAAAACTTAAAGGCTGCTCTGCCTAAGATGTCACAAATGTTTAAAAAATAAGTTTTTATTTGTTTGTTTCTGAATTGCACACTACCTCACCACTGCCCACTGATGTTAGCAGAGATGAAGACTTGTCTGATGTGAGCTGATGCCTGTTATTTATTTTCTTCTGCTCAAGATTAATTTTTGATTCATCCAGATTTACTTCTTTGATGAACCGATGGGCAATTTCCAATTTTCCAACAGGTATACAGGCTTCCGTCTGTTAACGAAACATTATGAAACCATTCATTTATTGTAAACATAAACAAACTTCCCACTGAACAAAACCAAAAAAGCAGCAGAAGCAAGAGAACAGAGTGATAGTGACAAACACCCAATTCAGTATTTCGATAGTGCGTTTACATCTGCACTACACAGTGAGCATACAAGTGAAAATTCAGTAATTTGAATGTTCCATTTGGTGTGATACAAGACAATTTAAGTAAGGTGTTTTAAAGGATATGTCAGGTTGTGCACAAACTGATTTATAAGCAATGTAATTAACAAAGTTCAGTTTGACAATTCTGCTTAATGAAACTCTTCAGTACAGAGAGCTACATCTGTAACAGTCAACAAGAGGATCAACTAACTGGAATATCACTTCACACTTAGAAGTCAGTCTAGGAAAATCCAGATTACAAAGAACTAGATGAGTCCGAATTTGGCTGAAAATAGCTGCAGAACGAGAGCAACAGTTTTACACTGCTGCTTCACTGATTACAATTTACTTTAGAACAAAAGAAATCACTGCATAAATATAATATGGTTTGGTTTGTCAACTCTTGATTATCAAGCAAAAAAAAAAACCCAAACATTTTACATTCATATCCTTCATATATATGGAGCAAGACCAGAAGGAAAGATTTAAAAAAACAAAATCTTTTGGTTGAACATGTATTCCTACCACCAAAACACAGGAGCAGCGAAGAAACAAGCAAGAAGTGTAATCTGCATAATCTGCAGGAGTCAGAGATGTCAGGCAACCATTGACACACTAGAGAATTCACTCGCTCACTCCTCCTTTCTAACTCCCTTTAGTCAACCCAGGGCCTTTGCAGTTGCTAGTGGGACATTAGATGGTATTTGTGAGATAAAAGTGAGTATGCAGAGAGACTGACTGCTTCAAACAGCAGTTACTTTTCCCATTTGATCTTCCCGATTCTTATACCACAATGTAGAATGAATAAAGGAAGAAGTTTTTCAATGTGAAAATGCATGCTTTGTCATGTCCCTCAATCACAATAGTCCATAGCCATTCATAACTGACAGCAATTCTTTTGTTCCCCTAGCACCATCAACATATTGCCAACACACAGAGATCACAGAAGCATATACTTAAAGAGAAACAGGAAAATCTCTCTGTAACAGCCTTACTCCTTGCTTGGCTCATCCCATCTCCTATGTTCCATGCAGCCAGAAGTACAACACAGCTAAAGATTGCGTTGATTTCTTTCTAACCACACGAAGGCTGGGGGGGAAATCTTAACCTTCCAGTGGAATTCAAGGAGAAGTTGCATCCCTGCTAAGGGGATAACTTCATTGTTCTCTCTGAGCAAACATAGTTGCACTAATGTACATGTCTTTTCGTACTTTGGCACATGGCATATAGCAGTTAACCAATATTGGGAAGACTGGTCCTGTGGTCCTTTATTTAGATAAAGTTTAGATAAACAACTTCAACATCTTCATTAACATTGTGCTCAACTGTTTCAAAAAAAGTCTAAGCAATAATTGCAAAGATGATCTTACAGAATGTTTGCAAAACTTCTTTTTTAAGCCTTATATTAAAGTTCCCAGCAACTGAACTCAGATGCTAATTCTCTCCCACTTCAATATCTAACCAAAAAGACAAATATGCCAGCTCCCAAGGCAGCAGCCAGGAACCGGATTTTGCAGGGGGAAGGGGACGGGGTAACAGGCAGAAGCAACATGACCCACCAACAAGAAAGTTGGGAAGCACTACTCTAGATTCTCACAACCAGACTGCTTGCTTGACGTTTTCTACATTATGCATAATTTTTCCAAAACCCTTTCCTTCCCACTCAGGCAGCTAAAATTCTAGATCGAGAATTACCTAATGTCACTACGACTGCACTATCCTTCCCCCTTTGAAAAATGGGGTCATAGTTACTGTTTTCTATTCCAAATGCTAAAGATCATCTTTCACGTCTCTCCACTTACCGCACTCTTTTGTTAGCTGCCTTTATTAACAGAGGCAACATCACTAAACTAGCTTCAGAGTAGAACTGGAAACAAGAGGGAAGATGACAAGTGATGGGAGGAAAAAAAAAAAAAAAAAGTATTAAGATAGCTAAGATGGAATCCTGACTTAGATGAAATGAGCAGAGCACTCCATGATCCTCAGTTCAGATCCTTGTATTTTTCCACTGAACTGATGCATGACCTCTAATTGCCACAAATCAACTTCTAATGTCTCAGTCCAGGTTACCTCTAAAAATGAGATAAATGGGTTATCCTTTATAAAAATACATGGACTTAAGAGAAAAAGCACTACAATAATCAAGATTTGTGATTGCTGTCTTACTACTGTCACTACCTAGTTTTCAGTTCTAGATTTAAGTTTCAGTATCATCAATTCAAAAAACCCTGAACAACCTGGATTTAGACGTGCATGGCAAAGTATTTTTATATCCATGCAAAACAATTCACAGAAAAAAAAAGAACAAAACAAAACAACTTATATCCGAGTGTATAACACAGGCTAGCATGTCATCTCAAGAAGATGATTCACTGCTTGCTTTTGGCTACCCACAGGACGCTACGTACTGTTGTAACTCCTTTAAATTTTCACCTGAAGTTTTTCCATCAAATGATGTCATCTTTCAACTCATATAGTATAAGTAAAGATCATTCCATAAGTAAGCATCACTCCAGCAAGGATATATTTATCAGAACAACAGGTCTGACAATTTCCTGCGTTACTAAAAGCATTATATTTCCGGTAAGGAGGAATGAGATAATCAAATAAATTTTAGAGGAATAACAGAATGCCATATTCAGTGACAGGGTGAATCTTGACACTAAGTGACATCATCCAAAAGTATAATTTTTCTACATGAAAACCTCATTCACTAAAACCGAGATGGTTAGATTGACTAAACTCATTCAAGACACTATCTACGTATTCCATATTTACGATAGTTTTCATTCTCATGATGCAGCAACTTTGATTCCTTCCAATGACTGGGAAATAGGAATCTAAACATTTTTTCATAACTTATATAATTCCTGATATGGTTTCTCTTTGATTCATTATATCCAGCCATGAAACAGTCATAATTAACCTAGGAATGAAAGAAAGTGAAAAGAAGAATAATTATGAACATTTGAAAAGATAAAAAAGCAAAACTTGGCATTTATCAAAAATGAAGACGCTCAGGAGGAAAGACATAAGGATTTTGTCCAAAAGACAAAATCCAAGTTATATGTACAATTTTGTTCAAAAGGGGTTGTTACAACCCATTTAAGAAATACAAACTCGAACAGTTTTTCTCATGTATAATGTTTGAGTGTAATACTTAAGCGTGCTACAGTAATTCTAGGCAGCAACTTTATTACATTAGTTATAAAATTTTTATTGTTTTATAACAGATACAAAGTTATACATTAAAAGCTGAATATTACTTTGTTGAACAAACACACAGCTTAAATCTCCACTGCACGTTTCACTTTCATCATAGTGAAGTAATTGGTTGTTTGTGAGTAATATCAAATTTAAGATAAAACAAACACAAAACCACACACACAGCCCCCACAAAGGAATGCTGATAGTTACATTTGACAGAAGAGACGGTTTTAAGTAGGAATTCAGACCTTCAAGTTTTCTTACGACTATATTTAAATTACAAACAAAGTATGGCCATCTTCAGTATGTACAATTTTCTTCTAAACTGTTTGACATCCATTAATTTGGAAGTTCCAAGCAATGCATCAATAACAACATTTCAAAGAGCGCTTGTAAAGTTTTCCGAAGTAGTGGCCTGTTACATTTTTCCAACTACGTAGCACTACCATTGGTTCAGATTATCTCACTTTTCCCTGAGGCATTCATAACAATAAAATTTATTAATGCACAAGACAGTATTTTTTCCACAGCTGTTCCATTGCCATATGTATATGCTAATTGCCCCTATGAGAACTCATTTTTTTAAATGAAAACAAACAAACAAAATCTACTGAATAAAAAAAGTCACATTTGATAGCACAGAAGTAATCTCTCTGTACCCAGTGTCCAAACTATGGCTTGCTACCCTTGCTCACTTTGCCCTGATCTTATGAGTTCTATTCATGTCATATTAGACTTTCTGGGATCAAGAACTAAGTAGCTACGCAGAAGCATAGCTCCATCTGAATTAAAAATATATATACAGTTTATTAACGCATCAAAAAAATAACTATTTGTAGCCCACCTGCTACTTCAATGACTTAAGCCCAATATTAGAAAAGTGAAACAATAAACATGGCAGAAATACACACAGAGAAAGGCATTGCTACGCAACAAGGAAGGCATTAAGGGGACGGACAGGTTCACATTTCCCAGGTTCTGCAAGGGGAGGCAGCGCAGATGGGGACCATCCTGGGGGGCTGTTGCACCCCCCGGCGGCACCCCAGTGAAGCCAGCCCCACAGCAGCATGCTCTGGGCACTTCCGCGGACGAGGAGGAGAGGGGCTCAGCGTGTCACCCAGAATTATCACTGTGGTCAGTTTTCTTGGGACATTTCTTCCACTATTTGGAAGTAAATGCTGATGAAAGACTGCTGCTGCTCAACTGATTGCATAGAATATTAATCATAGTAGTTTTGCCAAAACTAGATACTGCCCATATGAAAACATGGATTTATGCTACTGACAGGACAGCATATAGAACTGTTAGATTTTCAGCTCTACTACAGAAACAAGACATTAATTCTTAGGTGAGTACTAATCAAACAAAATGTCAGAAGACAAAAAAACAAAAAAAAGAAAATCCAGGTGGCTCTAATGCCAGGTAATCTTCACAGAATTTAAAATCCACAGGTTTTTTCCAAAGGACAAGAGGCACCGCTCCCTCCCCCAATTAAAAATTGTTCCATTTATTTTAACAGTTAACAGCTGCAACCACCTTAGTCTGCCATAAAAGCAATACAAAAATATCATGGCATGTACATTTGGTTCGGTGGGGCAAGGGGACACCCAAAGGGCACATGCTACTTTTTTTTTAAAAGATAAAAACATTGTTTTACTTCTTCAGCAACAGTACTACTCTGTTCACACAAACACTACTTGAAAAGTCTAAGAGTAATGGGCTGTTTTAGATATGCTAGAAGATAGGTTTCCTATTTACACTTGCTAAAAGGCAAGCTATCTCTACTAAATATAAGTCACCTTGTAGTTGATAACACTAATTCTCACTGTAACATATCCAGCAACTATCAGTTCAGAAAGAATACTTAGAATTAAATCGTGCCATGGTGCTTATCAAATTATTTAAGATCAGAACCATGCAACCATGTAGCTTATTTTCATAATACAGTGTTGTCTTTTAGTTAAAAAAGACATCAGTCTCCAGCCACATACACATGCTGGGAAAATTTTAAAAAGCTTAAAAAAACTCCCTGTTAAAGAACTGATAACAGGGTCATTTATCCTTTTCCTTGCCAGTCAGGGAGATCAGCATATAAAACCTTCCTTTACTTTATGCTCACTAAGTAGAGTTATCACAGAGGGCAATGCTAGAATTAAAATGCATATAGTCCTGTAAAAACCAAAAAAAGGAAACATATTTTGAGAGACAGGAGAGAGAGTAAAAATTCCAACAAGATAAGACATTTAAAGTAGGATTAAATTCATCACAAATATACAAAAAAAACTCAGACAAAAAGAAAAATTATCTACACAACAGGCTGATGGTGAAGGTTGATAAACTGAATTCCAGGCCAGATGACTTGGCTCTTCTAGGCTACACACAGCTTACAGTTTCAAAAAATACGAAGTAATTCATTTGACTAAGCTTACAGTTTCAAAAAATATGAAGTAATTAATTTGACTACATATTATAAAGCTACTACACATATATATGTATATTATTTTGCTATATAGTAACTTTTTAATAATTTACTTACCAGTAATGCATTGTTTGTTTCACATTTTCCACATAGCATTCCCTTCATTTCAGAAGTTTCATAAGCTACAGCATTTGCCATTTCACACTTAAATGACTGTTCCATTGGCTCTAGAAAAGAAAGCAGCACCCCACTCTCTCACTGGCTTCTTTATCACTTAACTGTAGCAACCTCCAAAACAATTATTCTATCAGAAGTTGGTGAGTTCTTTAGTTAATAAAGATGTCTTTACCTCTAATCTGTTCTTTGAGTATTTTCAGTTTCACTTTTCCTGAAGAAACCTATACAGAAAAATATAAGTACTAAGCTACTGGAGTATGAATATTAAAATTAAGTGTAAGGTGGTAATAAAAATGAATACAACTTTGTAAATATTAAAATGCTAGTGTTTATAGGAAAAGAGCTAGACATGTTTGTAAAGAGTCACTGTCATGAATAATAAATAGTTTTCTAAATATGTGACCCATCCTTCCCCACCAAAAAAAAAAAAGACTTTCCACCATGAACCCCTGCCAATGCAATAACACCACCTTTATTTGCCTAGCCGGAGAGGCAGCAAGGATCTTCCCCAAGCACAGACATGTAGGGCTGTGGAAATTTCATAACCACAGTGACCTAAATTGAGCCAGTGAGGTCTACTGCACAGAATTAAAAGGCAGCTGCACAGACATCTCCCTGGGGCATTTGTTTGGGCATCTGCTTCCTTTCACTACCCTTTCAGGACCTAGCACCTCCAATGACTGGTCATTTTCAGCATTTTTGCTCCTGAATTTTTCCCTCCAAGCAGATAAAAGTCTACATTGCAACCTCACTTTTCTTCTCTTGCAGGCATTTTAATTTTGCCCCTTTGAAAATTCTGCCCTATGCATCATCTCCTTAGCCATCACAGCTGTAATCTGAAGTAGCAAAAGCTCTGAGTAGCTTATCTTAGAGAAGGGAAAAGAGAAAGAGGTAGGCTGAAGAAAAAAAAAAATTCTTTCATTCTGACCCTCTTTCTTCTGCTCGCAGCCAAGTAGGCAATTTTATTGAAGTTGAGGGTGTTGGATGAGAAGACCTTTGCAGGTCTTTGCAAACTCCTATGTCTTCAAAAGACTTCAAACAGCAATTGCTACGGCCTAGTCTGAAGTTATCAGTGTCTGGTTCCCCTTTTAGGCTTATATTTATCTCAGCCAGCTTCAAACAATCTTTCTTAATTAACAGCTATCTCAACAAAACATATATAGCACAGTTCCCCCCCCGGAAAAATAAAAGAGCCCTCTCCGTTATGTCCCATTCAGTCCAATCTGTATGCATCTCCAGATATTTCCTCTTTCCTTTAGCAGACATTGGCATATCTAAGCTGAATCAGTTTTGATTTTGGGAACCCCTGTAGGTCTTTCCTTCTTAATAACGCAGAGAAGGAGTAAAGAATGTCAGTTCTGTTATTGCAACCACTATTTTGAACACACTCATGAACACTACCTATTCATGGATACACCCAGTGCTTGCTTCCATGATAGTAAAGCCTCAAGGACAGAAGCCCATGTTATCACAGTAAAGAATTTATTTTACCAGAGAATGAAATATTAAAAGTAGGTTACTACAGTCGGAAGTGATAATGCTCCCTACAAGGCCCACCCTTAAGCTAATTAAAATTTAGTCAGTTTTTACCTATCTCAGCTCAAGGTTTCTCAAGACATGCCTGCTCTACGCTTAAGATTTTTGGAAAGTTGCCCTAGTCATTTCCAAAAGGAGATAAGGGGGAAAATACCATGTTTCGCACATAAATTATTGAAAGGTGTATTTTCTTATCAGGAAAGATCTACACGCTTCCCTATTTTACAAAAAATGCCTTACAGAACAAGAGTCCATTCCCAAACCTAAGGTGTGAGCCTTACTCTATTCACATTTTAGAACCTTGTGCGATTTGCATTTTAAAACACTCAGAGTCCAATCTCAGCTGGAATTTGTCTAATAGAATGCTTCAAAGGTCTGCTTAACCTGCGCTTGACCTATTAGCATCAGCCTTCATGGGATGAAAGTAAGGCCTTCCCAGCTACTGTGGGCCACATGACAAGAGACTCTCTGCTTATGCTCTCAGTCTCCTTCTGTACTTACTGAGAGTAAAGAAATGCAGAAGCATCATGGGGTAAGATTATTGGACATGCAGAAGCAGTAAAACACAATGCTGAAGAGAAACCTGCAGATGCCAGAGAACAAACCGCAGAGAGAGACAGGAGTTCTACTGTGAAGACAGACACTGTCATGCAATGACTGAGTTAACGCATCAATGAGTTAGAGAAGAAATTTGAAGTCTAATATTTTTAAACTTGGTGTATGTTTCACATACGTTATAGCTATGGAGATGGCAAACTTGTACTCAAAGCTACACAAGAAGCCTGGTACTTCAGATCCATAGTGGGCATTAGACAAGGCCAAATTAATTTGAAAGACAGACTCCTGAAGACTTCTATCAGCACCAAATTAGACTTACCATACTAACCTTACAGAAGCAATGAAAGTTTGCTTTTAGCTATTGCAAGTAGAAAACAACAAATCTCCAATCAAAATTTGATGTTCCTCTAGCTCAAATGGAAACAAGCTTGGCACGGAAAAAAAAAAAGCAATCTTCAATTCTATTCAGAATTTGCTTATCCTTTTATTTTTATAGTATTTAAATTTGGCATATTCAATAGAATAAATCTTCCAAATCTCGTTTTTAAATAGCATTATCTGCAAATATACTGATAGTTTCTTACCTTACTATTGTTTTTTTGGTTCTGTGACAAAACTCGAGCTTGGATGGTCATTGGTCCTGCCTGTCCACATCTCCAGTGATAAGCCCTTGATTTCCTAGGAAACAACACCAAGAAGCAGTTTACTAATCATATGTCATGTGTCTTCTGTAAGCATGAGTGGGAGAAGCATGTAGGTTTTCCTTCAGGTTTTTAATTAAGAATGAAATACTACAGAAATAAACTTGTACGATCACCAACTCTCCAAAACACAAACCCCTCCCCTCCCTTCAATTGTTATCCCTTTGAGTCTACTTGCCTAGGAGTTAAAGCATTAGACTTAAAGTGTTTGTTTTTCAAGTTCTGAAAATGGTATGAATTTTTAGACATATGAAAATCCCATCAGTTCTTCCAAAACCAATCTTGAGAATAAAAACATAAGAAATGGATTTAAAAAAAAAAATCTTGATTACCCCAATTTACCCTAGGGCATTCATCCAGCATAGCTAATATGCCCATCTTTTACCATGCTAGGTGCATATACACACCTACAATACAGATTTTAGTGAACAACAGATTTGATAGTGACTACTATGATTGACATGGAAGACAGCAGGGAAGAATTTCAGACCAAGCAAGATTAGAGTCAATTACAGCTTTAACACACTTGCACAAAGATTAGCAGGCTCCGTAGCTCATGCCATCCATTGGCTATAACAGTGAAAGCTACTTTGAGTAAAAATAAAAACAAAAGCAGGGTGCAGGGTGGCCAGGGAACAGGGAGCAGGGGAGGCTCAAGTAAAAAATTACAGAGGTGCAACTGGTAGGCCTTTACCAAGGCTAAGGCACTAAGGTACACAAGGCACAATGCAACAGCACTTATCGCCAGTAACAAAGTATGTTAGACATATATATGCAAATATATATGTAAGACAAATACAAAGAAATAGAAGTAGGGATTGCAGGTATTTGCTAATATACAGACCAAGCCAGCAGCAGAGCAGAGATCAAAACTTCCAGCCTAGCACTTGCTTCATTACATTATGCTTACTTTGAGCCGTTTTTCCTATCATGCAAAAAAAATAAAATAAAAAAAAAAAAACAGTCTTTCTGAAAAGCTACAGAGGCATGCAAAACAGGATTAAAGCACTAGCAAGACAAGCATCCTCTTCAGAAACAGAAATTAGACTGAAATAGTGCAAGAGACATGGCATTTTGTCTCCTGCTTTAAATCTAGGATTGCAAATCCTATGGGATAAAAAGGGA